GACAAACCAGATTGTTTTGTAAAACATTAGTGTTAAGCAACATTACATGCAATATCACGGATCAAACATAAAGAACATAGCGCTAGTTATAAGAAGTATCAACTTTTTAACTTTACTCAGTATGTGACTTGTTTTCACTCACTTCATCTTTCCAGATGGCTATAAATGTTTTAAATAATTAACGCAGTAAGTAAGCCGTTTGAATTTTAGCAGTAATCACTCAGTACCTGGCTTTACTCCTTGTAAGGTTATGAAGCTTTACCATATCTCTGAAATAAATATATCATTTCTAGGTAGATCATGGAGATGATTCATCCTGTTATGATTTTGTATACGCTTCCAACAATATATTACTTTGTCAACTGACTTCACTGTCAATGAAGAAACTGTGCCACCTAGGGATGCTGTAGCCTGGTGCATACTCACTGAAGCTAGAATAGTTAACTCAAACAAAAATGTAAGTGAACATTCAGGTAATAAAAGGTTTATTAAACTTTGAAACATTCATAAACTGTAAGTTCAACTAAACAATCTCCCGCTGACATACTAGTAAAGGTTAAGGAATTTAAAGGGTTTTGAAAGAAAATTCCAGGCATTCCGTATATATATTACCATGTTTCTATTTTCCTCTAATTAACTCAGTGATAATCAGTAAAACAACACGCCACTACTCTTAGGTGAACATAAATACCCACAGATTTACATACTCCAAATAAAACAACATTAGATTCTGGATTGAGAATTCATGCTTATTATATATTTCAAGAAACTATGTCACTATTTCCAGTTTTACCATTTCAGAAATATTAATATGCTACTTTTTTCACATCCTCTTATACATTTAAGGTGTAGAATGGATTACGAAAACTACAATCAAGTCCAGTAACCTTTTGTAGTTTCATGAAATCAAAGAATTACACTATCCATATGGTAATAGTTAGCGGCTCAAAAGCGAGTAGATGGGATGTAGTTCCAACCCTTTATTACCTAACCTAAGTTGATAAGGTATACCTAAACATTGGACAAATCAGTTGACTGTTACCTCTGCTTTAGAAATAAACAAAAATTCAAAATACGAAATACATCTTGGTTAGAGATTTACCAACTTGCAATTTTATCGGTAACCAAATTAATGTTAACCAATTTAGATCATTTTTTGAACTATAGGCGGCAAAGATGAGGACGTCAAATCCAAGATCGAAAGACAGCAAGATAGGCGTTCATTAACCTGAAACCAGTGTGGAGATCTTCCAAACTCAGCACAAAGCATGAACAACATCCAGATTTTCAACACCAATCCAGTCAAGTCAGTGCTTCTATGTGATGCTTGAGAGACTTGGCACATTACGAAAGGGATTTCCAACAAACTACAGATATTCATCAACAACTGCCACGTACACTGGCTCGTTACTGAAGATGGAGATCGAATGGCCAGAATAATTAGAATAAGCAAGGAGGAACTGTGGCTGGCTAGTTGGCTAGCTGGCTTGTAACGAACCAACCAACAATCTATCATCCAACGAATATGCGGAATGAAGTGGAGATGGATTTGACTGGGCATGCGGTTAGATGACCATTTGGGATATGACGTGCTAGGCCAGGTCCTCGAGTGGAACTCAGATGGGAAACGGCGAGTTGTGCGTCTGAGGTGAGGGTGATATGTAGAAGATGCTGTGGGGAAGAAATGAGAGCTTGTGGGGAGTGGTTGGGCGTGGTTGAAAAGATTGCAGAGAAGAGAGTGGAATGGATATGTGCTACTGAATCCTTAAGTTCCACTCGGAACTCAAGGGACAAATAATAAAATTAATAATAATTTAGATCATTTACCTTTTTTATGAATCGTAAACACAAGTTCACAAAAATAAAAAAATCATTATCAAGCAATTTTTTTGAACTAAGGTTATCAATCATCCAGTTAGTGACAGCCTGTGACAGTCTTTGAAAGACGAGAGGAAGTAAAGCCTAATATACTCGAAAGGACCACCTGACTTATAGGCATTCCAGAATTTAGTGTTTAAAGTGATCGTGTCTATGAAACTCTACTCAGGTATAAGTTCATCAGAGTAAACAAGCATTTTAGGCGGATATGAGAAAAGCACTTTAACTGTTCCCTTACCATGATCTACTCATCCTGTTTGCAGTGTACTTTTAAGATTCTACTTTATCAAAACTCATTATAAGCCATTAACAAACTTCTATGTGAATAAGATGTATGGAGAGGACTATTATTCTTTTCAGCTACTATACGCCACCTTCAAAATGTGTTCTCAGCTCACAGAAGAACAAATATAAGTGTGAAGAGAGAAAACATTTTAACACTTCATTCTTTAGTATGGTTTGCTTCACAGCACTGTCGAAAGATATACTTCCATACTTGCAACTGCATAAACACTAACGAGTATATGTAGGCGGGTGGAAATAGATGCATACGTTTTACATGATATTTGTAAATGAGAAACTTTTTTTGTGCATCTATAGGCGAAAACTAACAAGTTAACAGAAGAGGCAGCAGAAACGGGACTTCAAGTGAATGTAGAGAAGACAGACGTGATGAAGATACTCAAACAACAACATCACCATTAACGGGAGAAACCTGAAGGGAATAGTCTCTTTCACATACCACCTAAGCAGCATCGTTTCAACTACAGGCAGACATCAAAACCGGCATTGGAAAGTCAGCAAGACAGGCCTTCCTGCATCAATCTGAAATAATCAGAGTGGAGATCGACTGCACTGCAATGCAATGCACTCAGCATGAAGCTTGAACAACATCCAGATTTCCAACACCAATCCAGTCAAGTCAGTGCTTCTATGTGATTGTTGAGAGACTTGGCGCGTGACAAAAGGCATTTCCAACAAATTACAGACATTCGTGAACAGCTGCAGCCTACGCTAGCTGGCTGGCTGGCTGGCTGGCTGGCTGGCTGGCTGGCTGGCTGGCTGGCTGGCTGGCTGGCTGGCTGGCTGGCAACAAACCAACCAACAACCCATCACCTAACAAGGATGCAGAAGAAAAAGGGAGGTGGATTGGACTAGGCATATACTGAGGAGACCATTTGGTGATATCACGCGCCAGGCCATGCCATCGAGTGGAATCCAAATGGTAAATGACGAGTTGGGCGTCCCAGCTGAGGGTGACATAAAGGAGATCATGTGAGGAAGAAATGAAAACTTTTGGGGAGTGGAGGTGCCAGGTTGAAAATGCTGCAGAAAATAAAGTGGAATAGAGACGTGCTACTGAAGCCATATAGTCCACTAGGAACCCAAGAGACGAATAATAACAATATTGGGGGTAGGGTCACCATCCGCATTCCTAACTTTCCCTCTTTATCCGGGCTTAGGACTGGCTAGTAAACTAGACGAGTTTCTGTGTAAAACATGCTTTCTAGTAATTATATCTTTCTATCTTTTATTACAGGTAATGAAATAATGGAATGGATGATAAGAAATGCCTAAGAATACCGAAAATCCAGTTGAGGCTTTGAAAAAAGTATTTAAACTGAAGATACTGAAAACAGTATCTTCGAACAGTCATTTCAAACTCATCATTAAAGTTTTGAGGTAAGTGAACGTCAGGTTACATTGTTATCGGAGACTAAATTTTACTGTTTTCAAGTGATAAACATAATCATCTATAATTAGAGTGAAGTGAACTGCTGAGAAGCAGATGAAACAGTGTAATGAAATGAATCATTTAAATACTGTTTATATAATTAAAATAAGGCCTGTGATTTTTTAAAATATATAAGGAAACCTAAAATAGTTGTAGTGGTTCACTCCTGTGTGATGACAAGATCACCCTACTGGTCCTTGCGTTTATTGACTCACATTACACAGTAAAAAATCTTCTTTAGCATAACGGTCATTATTATTATTATTATTATTATTATTATTATTACTATTTTAATGAATCCCAACTATATTTATTTACGAACACCGTCATCATGAATACTCCACTATAAACTTAGCCATACAAGTTCCAATTGTCCAATGATAACCATGGGATTTTCAACTCCTATACTTCTACATAAACTGAACTTGGCTGTTTGCATAGTCTTTGGTTTTCTAAGCATTAACTGATCCAACTTGTCTAACAGCTGAGCCTGATTAAATAAATTTGCAAACTTTATTTAAGCTTGCTGAAATAGTGAGCAGTTATAAGGTTTAAATAATAAAAACTGGAATGAATGCACTTCATAATGTAGTACCTGCTGTTTTGTTCTATACAGTCAGATAGTAAAGAATTCTGTAGCTCCAAGTAATGCTTAATTGGATCAGCGTTTTTAGCAAGGCTTCTTATGGATTCATAAGGCTTGGTATGTTATTTAACGTAGTTTACTATATGTAGTGAAAGTAACTATGCTCAGAATTTATACGACATGGTATAATTTAAACCAACAGTTCGTTTCATCCTTTACTGTGCAAATAAATCAGTGAGAAAACTAAAACTGCAACAAGTAAACTAGAAATAAAATTTCACATGGGTTTACATACATACGATAGTGATCACTCTGCAAGACATGATGATAGTGTACTTCACTAGATGAAGTTGTTCCCTGCTTATATTTTCGATTTCCATGAGTTCTACATAGTTTCTGAGGCACAACAATGATCTAAGAAGCGAAAAGAATCAGTTCGAGTTGATGTTTACTTTGTTCTATTTCCTGACACTTAGCATGGTTAAGGTTCTGTGGAAGCTTTGAGAGGATGACAGGCTGTGGGCACATTAAGTAGCTTCAGAGTTTACTAGCAAAATCAATTTAATCCATCTGCTATTGGATTTTATTTCAATTTATTACTTCCTTATTTACCTCTAGGACGCATTACAAACGATAAAAGTGAAAAAAGGAATTGTTCCTTGAAGTGTTTGGAGGTTCTGATTCACTCTTACACCTTAAAAGATTCAAGTCAAGACTGGCATGAGCATGAATTAGCATCTGGCTGTAATAAATCATGAAAATTAGCTGTAAAAATGAAAATCAGTAAAGTCGAAAACTCACCGATTGAAGGGTTGGCATTTATAAATTTAAAAAGTTTCTCTGTACCTATAACGAAGCTTGTAACTATTTTCCCTGGGCGTATTTTCTTATTTGCATTTGTTATAACACCACACTCAACTAGTTTTATAACCTCATCTGAGAACATTTCCGTATGTACTCCCAGGTCTCGGTGGTTTGTAAGTCTGGCCAAGACTGAATCCGGAATCGCTCCAATGCTAATACGCAAAACAGAAACTAGAGAAATTTGTTGTGAAGAATATGAGTAAATTAAGCACAAGAATGAAAGTTGCTGTGAATCATTATGCTGACAGGATTATATTTAGTTGAATATGTCTTCCTGAGAATTGTGGGTGATTAATGTTGATATTTTAATGCTCACTGCTGTGAGATATTTCAAGCTTGGCTTCAGTAGTTTCAGAAGTTACACAGCTTCATTTGAATGTACTACTACCAACCTTTGAGACATGTATGTAACACTTCATCAGCGTTGCATAACTTTTTCGAGTGGATATTTGAAAACTGGGATGCATCATATTCAAAATGTTTTACGAACCTGTTTGCAAGGTGGCACCATCATCAATCAAATTCTCAGCAATCAGTGCACCAATCTTCTCCTCAACTTGAGACATAGGACGTGGATTCATGCAGTGACAAGGCATATCACCATGGATAACAGAAGTGAAGTTGCTGATATGTACATGAGCATCTCCCTGAGTGACTGGTAAACTTGGGTTAATTTGGCCTGCAAGTAAAATGTTGGATAATGAGGACTAACCGACGAGATATTCGGCAGATTCAACAGCACCACGAGTAACATCTACACTTGGACCAAGTGAACAGTATCCATTAAGATCTGGAGGGCTGATGTTTAACAAAGCAAGATCCAGTTTTACAATGTTTCTACGAAAAAGTTGTGGAATTTCGCTCAAAAATATTGGAACATAATCAGCTCTTCCACTTTTTATTGGCTCTCTACAATTACTACCTACAAAAACCTAGTGAATCTGTTTTGATCTCTTTACCCGTAAAGAGTGATACAGATCGAATATGTTCAGCAGCCTCGGGATTAGTGATTGGAAAGGGTCCCTCAGTATGGATGTGGTAAGCCGATATGTTCTTCAACTTTTCGGCCATGATATATTTGTAGAGTTCAGTAACAAGAACCGTTGGTGTTGCTGCACCACCATGAATGAATACATTTGCACCTTATTTTAAAGTAAATTTGATTAAAAGCGGCAAACAAACCATCTTTTAGGAACGGAAAAGCTTCTTTTCCAGTTGAACACTGCTTCGGTGAATTACCGACTGAAATAGCGAAAGGTTGTCTTAATTTCACTTCTTCAGCCTTGCATCTTAAGCTAAGATGCAGTACTCTCAGACATTGACTTGATACAATTTTGCATACTTGTCCTCTGTCGCACACCTGGCGATAAACTGAAATCATCCAGTTTCCAGTTTTAATATTCAGAAAAGGATTTGTTCAATCCTACATACAAAAATAGAAAAAAAAATAGGTGAATGTATCGAAAATTCCCTTAATGATTGTAATATAAGCACTTCAATGGTAAGACTAGATTAATATCATCAGGGTCGTTATGCTCTTTTACCTGAACTCGTCAACTGTTAGATAGCAGTTTTTTAGTTGGTGTTATCATATTCTTAATTGTGAATGGTCTCCCTTTGCAGTCTGTGTTATGATAAGTATGCTCAATTAAGGTAACTCTTTAGTTGCTTGGATTCTAAAATAGTACTGACCAAAGTATGTTTTGAATGTAGGTATCTTGTTAACTACTACCTACTGTAATATTTTACATGGGAGAGACATATGACTTTTTATTGAGATTGATATAAATAATTAAAGTAGGGTAGTTATAATGGACAGAAATCATATGAGGTATTGATGTAAGAATATCAACATTACGTGTGGTTTGTCAAATGATAAAGCCTCGAGTTCATAAATATGAGATGGATACAGTTGTTTGTGTACTTCATTCAGTCAAACAGATGTTTCGTACGAAGCGATTTCATTTTCTGGATAAAGTCATTCACACATATAATACACTGCTTATTGTTATGAAAAAGCGATTATAAATGTGAATACAAAATTGCGACTGAAGTTCCTGACCGATTTTCGGTGCAAACCATAGTGTCACCTTTCTGATAAAAGGGTGGGCTCAGCTAATACTTATCTACATCACTTAGTTCCTACACATATAGTTGAATAACAACCTGCAACTGAGACGTTAATGCAATCGCGACAAAACTATGAGGCATAAACTATGTAAGGCACAGTGCCTGAAGCTGTGAATTATTGTGCCATCAAATATAACTCTTAAAAAAATAAAATTGAAGCCTTTAGAAATAATCTTGAAGATAGTGCCTATATTACTAAAGCGGTTATAATTATGGCTATCCATGAACCAGAAGCATAAAAATAATATGCTAAAAGGCAGAAAATAATGCTTCAAATGCGAGATCTGGCAATCAAAAACATAACGAGATACATATAATCTGTCATCATCATCATTATCAACATAGGACCAGGCATTACTGCGTAACGGTCCGAGTTGCTACACCTCATATCAGCACATCAAGTAAAGAAATAGTGAGGTGAAGGATGAAGATAAGTGAATGCAGTCAAAAGAGATATAAAGTACAAGAAGAAAGGAAAGAGGAGTGACAAAATGGTGTATAGCGTTGTTAAGATGAGGATAATGTGTGTATACATCTGCGCCACTGACTTCGGTTCTGAGCCATATCACCTAGGGTCTCCAACCACTGGTTCCTCTTGTCCCGTGGACCCCAACCACCTAGTCTGCATCGTCCTACATGGCTTAAACCAACAGTCAGAGACTTCATACATTGGTGCCATGTTTTAGTCTGGCCATCTCGAGCCTTTTTCCAGCCTGGACCCACCTCAGCTAACATTGTGTGACGAAGCAATCGGTGACTAGGCATACGTAGTACGTGTCCCAACCATCTCAGTCGATGAAGGTTCACAACCTCATCGACTGACTTACCTCTTCTCCCAAAAACTCTATACCTGACTTCTGCATTACTCACATGGTGACACCGAGGAATACGTCCTATACTACGAAGGCAATGGTGGTCAAACACCTGAAGCCTTTTTGTATCCTCCACTTTCAATGGCCATGTTTCACAGCCATACAGTAGAACAGAGCGGACTGCTGTGCAGTACACGCGACCCTTAATCGACAAATGAATATCACGGCGGCGCCATAGGTGGCGCAAATTGGCAAAAGCCAATCGAGCCTTTTGTATCCGTGCAGAAATCTCATCGGCAACTAACCCACCGGGGTTGATCCTACTTCCCAGGTAGGTGAAGTGGTCAACACACTCAACCACTTCACTTTTTATTGTTAGTCGCGGTACTGCTGAAGACCAGTCCTGGAGCAAAAATTTGCATTTGGGTGGTGAAAATCGCATCATCATATAATCGCATCATCGCATCATCATATAATCTGTGAGAATATGTCTCTTGAAAATGGAAGCTTTGTACATACAACTCTCGTGAAAAAAAGGCTCAACGTGCAGTTCTCCATGTTTGGAACTGCACTGCAATATCAACTCTACCACACAGAATTATTCATGAGAATAGAAACAAAATATGCAACCTAAAGATGTTAGCGTGAAACCAAAATTCATCATGTAGAAAGCTTCCACAGTAATACTACCGACAGCGAAAACAATTCGTCTGCCCCTTGTGGTATCCATAAAATATTTTCAGTGACAGTACTGTAGCGTTACACACTTCTCCAGAATCAATAGCCTAGGGTTCGACAACATGCAACATTGATGCTGACCTTGGTAGTTTAACTGGACTCGCTAAGCTGAAGGCACCCGGTCAAGCACCCTCACCATTTGGCACGCTGTCGCGTTACGTTGCACTGCTCGTAATCGACGCTCTAGCCAGTTAATTGGAACGCATCGGTATCTTGGCACGACCTCGTAAATATACCGTTCCATCCGACTACGCTATTGTGCTCTTTCTTGGTCTGGTATTCGTGGGTATATAACAAGTTCGAATAATTAGTGATTGGCCTCCGTGTCTGTCATGTTCGCACCAGGACAGTTGCTAAAGTACTAAAGAAGTGGAGAAATCGTAATAACTTGGAATGTTACGGAACAATGGAGTTTTCGTTTGGTTCACCACCTTACTCTACGCTTGCGATACACAATGACCGATGTGATTTGATCTTAATTAATACAGAAATATTTGTAACCTAAAACCTAACATTTATTAAACTCAAGTAACACTGACGACTTAACTTTCGAGAGTATCATTGAGAAGTTGGACTAAAACTCAAGAGATTTGGTAAAGTTTTGAAAATTTGCCTAAATATTTTTGAATTATACTTATTAGCCCACAGAACTGCAAAGTAACTACTGAAAAGACTCATTCTAAAACGAACTTAGTAATATTTACACATGAAGTGACTACAGGTTTTGAAATGAATCTGTCAACCTAAAATTGTGAGAGGGTAGGTACAGGGCGACTAGTGTCATATCAATATAGCTTCTATGAAGACAGTGATACATTGAGGAAATGCTCGGTTTCTTTACACCATATACGCCCATTTCCCTCAGTCACTGAGACTACGAAGAATAAAATGAGTACACTACCTATTTCAGGGAAATACGTTTCCTAGTTTAACTCATATCAACTACCATTGGTTCTACGGAGATTAATGTGAACAGCTGGATGTCTTTTCCCATCCTTATTTAGTAAGTGACAGTTCCGTTTATAATGGCATTCTGACAAAATATGGTGGTCTTAAATTGTAGAACAGAAGTGGAGATTTAGATCAAGGCAGCTGGCCTGGAGGAGGTGGAAATGTACAGCGATACAAGGTGTATAATCGTATAGCAACCTTGTATATTAAATGTGACACAATTTTCCTGAAATAACGAAACATGATCGTTCTGAAAAGCCCGAAGTAATCCTTATGGGAAAAGCAAGTCAAAAGGACAACGAGCCTCAATATTTCAAATATATTTTTGGTAATGGTAGTTCTGCTTGTTAGATTGCATGAATGTAATGAAGATTCATATAGGATGGTTGAGACGAAGGTATCCTATAACAGTAATGACCTGTATTGAGGTAAAGAGGCATGTTAATCACTTTTGGAGCAACATAAAATTACTTGTAATCTGGTGACAGAAGGATAAAGTGCAAAAATTTGTGAACTCTTTCAGGCAAGTAACAGACAATCTGCTTATCTCAGGAGTCATTATTAACATAATTATTATTGTAGTACAGCTCTGACAATGTATCTAAAAATAAGTTCACAAAAAAGTAAACGAACGAATACAGCTGCGTACCGGCTGTACCCTTTTACTATCTTAGATAGTATGGAGGAATAAAACCAATAAACTGGTTTCCACAGCATTTCCAGAAACTTCGCTTTCAAAAAATAAAACTGACACCAAGTACTGTTACTAATTCATAATACCAACAAGGTGCGTCGTGTACAGTATTCTATCAGACAGTAGAATAATCTTGAAAACTAAACAGTTCGCCAATCAGCAACACATATCGAGACCGAGACAAATATATTGCGTAATTTTCAGCGGCATATTAGAAGTGCTACCCTCATTTTGCATCTCTGAAGCAAATTATTTTGCAAGCGAGACGGGCTTTTGTGAGGCTTTAGTGACATAAGTTGCCTAATAAAATCTTTCATTGTTAGAGTAGACCCAAATTGACAAAAATGGGGGAGGGGAATGGTGGGGGGAAAGTGGTAAGCAGAAGGGGAAAAAATGGGGAAATGCAACAAAACACCAGCATTGCAATGTCCGCACTAGTGGGGTTTCTCCCCACTTTTTCCCCACGGTTCCGAAATTTGAACGCTTCATTTCCCCATCCCTTCCCCCTTGTCCCCATTTCCCCCTGTGACCTCTTTTTCCCATTTTCCCCCTAACGTCCCCACGTTTTCCCTATTATTTCCCCATGACCGTCAGCTTGGGGAGGACGAGGTACACAAGCTAATGAGGGCTTCACTCTATACCATGCATATAAATGATGGGTGAGAAAAAACCATTTTTTATCCTGAAATTTAAACGACAGCGAAAAGTGAAGTTTTTTAAGGATCAATTATTTTGTTAAGTTGAATGGCGTAGTCAGCAAACATACCTTAAGCACAGTGTTACTATAAGCTATCCCCAATCGAATTTGGCTGGCTTCTGTTTCCAAGCGACTTTGAGCCACATAAGTGAAGCGGGTTTCTCATATCTAATCGTGCTCAGGTAGCTTGCCATGTGGAGTTGGCTGAAGTGTATGTAATGTACTCCAAATAATGGGATATTTTGTTGTAAAAGATTTATATTGTCAACAAGTACCTTTTGGACACAAGTGGTTAATTTTTTTGTTTTTTAGGAAGTATATATCAAGATACGTACCAATGGCTTTGATCCCGTATGTTC